GTGTGTGTGTGTGTGTGTTTGGAAGGCGAAATATTTTGTAACTGTCTTTCTCCAAGTTCTACTTGTCCTCTTAGAAGGCAGGCTTTAAAGTTATGAAAAGAATCTCCCCATAATGAATAAATTAACAACAGTTTGTCTTTCCATCTTCATGTGGAATCATATTAAATAAAATACAAATATGGCATGTATTTCTTCAGTATAGTATATTCACTATTAGTCATATTATTCTAGTTGCTCTGGTGTACATGTTAATTCAAAGATTTTTAATGTTACAAAAACTCCCTTAATTGTACATCACAAGATAAAATATTTAAATCAGACTTTAAATTTTATCCATTATATCTATATATAAAAGTTAATTTTTAATTTTTTAATTGAGCTTTTAGAAAGAGAGGAAGGGAGAAAGAGAGATAGAAACATTGATGTGAGAGAGAAACACTGATTGGCTGCCTCCTGTATGCCCCCTACCAGGGATCGACCCCAAAACCTAGGCATGTGCCTTGACCAGGAATCGAATTGGCAGCCTTTCAGTGCATAGGACAGCACCCATCCAACTGAGCCACACTGGCCAGAGCTATCAAATTATTTTATTAAAATCACTCTTATTATTAATGCTGATATTTTGGCTTTTTCTCCTTTAACTTCTTTGAACACTTTTGTGTTTTCTCTTGACCATTATTTTTTGTCTTTCAGATATCTCAGTTACACAAAGATAAAATTGAACTCTTGTTTCTAACCTCTGCTTCAAAAAACAATACATAACCCCACAGCAATAACAACAACAAAAATCTTGTGCACCTCCTACTCTTCTATTAAATAATATCATTTAGGTGCCTAGGCCAAAATTCTGGGCGCTATCCTTGATTCTTACCTCTTGTTTATCCCACATAGAAAATCACTTGCTCAATTCTTGTCAGTACCAATTTCAAAATATAATCAAATTCTGTCTACTTTTCTTATCCCAAATCTTGCTGTATTAATTCAAACTATCATTATCTATCTCTAGACCACTGTATTATTTATGGATACTTAATACTAGATATTATACAGAATAATAAACTGGTCATAATTTGGTTTTAGAATTGCTCATTTATTGTAAGCAGTAATTTTTAATTCCCAGGATTCTGAAGTTACAAGAGTAAGAGGCACAACCTTAAATGCAAAAGAAACATCATAGACACTTCTGGTCAAGATGGCGGCGTAGGTAAACACAGTAGCGCGTCTTCCCACAACCACATCCAAGTTACAACAAAACTACAGAACAACCACCATTCAAAATCGCCTGAAATCAAGCTGAATGGAAGTCTTACAACTACGGAATTAAAGAAGCTGCATTGAGACTGGTAGGAGGGGCGGCGGCTCGACTGGCTGGTCCCACCCACGTGTGCTGGATAAAAATCAGGAGGACACCTCAGCTGGGAAGGTCCTTCCTGAGGACTGAGTGGTCCTCGTCCCACACCAGGTGCCCTGCTCAGGGTTCCAGTGCCAGGAAGAGAAGTCCCCATAACTTCTGGCTGGAAAAACCAGCAGGAACTGAGGCTCAGGGAAGCTGAAGCAGCTGGAGCCCCAGGCAGCTCCTTAAAGGGCCCGCGCACGGATTTATCGGACTCTCTCCCTCTAAGCTTGGAGGGGAGGCAGCTCGAGGGGCACCAGAGACATACAGGGAAGAGCTGTTTGGCACTGGAGCGAGGGCTGGAGAGGGGGCTTTCTTCGGGACAAACGTGCTGTCAGAGGCCTTTGTTCCTTTGGTGAGCCCTTCCCGGGGGCGGCAGACAGTCACCATATCTGGGACTCCAGCAACCTGGCTCACACTGGTAGCTCCGCCCTGGTGACTCCCTGAGGCCCCGCCCCACCCCACCCCACCCAACTTTCAGGCCCACCCAAGCTGTTGGCACTTGCTTAACCATAGGATTGGCCTGACTTGGATCCTGCTTCAGGTTTTCCTAAATTTTTTCAAACGAGCAGCATCTGGTCTCAGCTAGCCCCATACCGCTCGTTAAGTAATACACAGAAACAAACACAGGGAGGCAGCCAAAATGAGGAGACAAAGAAACAGGTCCCAAATGAAAGAACAGAACAAAACCCCAAGAAAAGAACTAAGCGAAATGGAGATAAGCAACCTAACAGATGCTGAGTTCAAAATACTGCTTATAAGGATGCTCAATGAACTCAGTGAGGGCCTCAAGAGCATAAAAAAGGACCAGTCAGAAATGATCGATGCACAGTTAGAAACGAAGGAGGCTTTAACTGAAATAAAGAATAATTTACTCAGCTTCAATAATAGAGTACGTAAATCCAAGGAGCAAACCATCGAGTTGGAATATAAGGAAGCAAAAAACACCCAATCAGAACAGCAAAAAGAAAAAAGAATCCAAAAAAATAAGGATAGTGTAAGGAGCCTCTGGGACAACCTCAAGCGTGCCAACATTCGCATCTTGGGGGTGCCGGAAGGAGAAGAGAGAGAACAAGAAATCGAAAACCTGTTTGAAACAATAATGGCAGAAAACTTTCCTAACTTGGTGAAGGAAACAGACATACAAGTCCAGGAAGCACAGAGAGTCCCAAACAAGATGAACCCCAAGAGGCCCACACTAAGACACATCATCATCAAAATGCAAAAGGTTCAAGACAAAGAGAGAATCTTAAAAGCAGCAAGAGAAAGGCAGCTAGTTATCTACAAGGGAGTTCCCATAAGGCTGTCAGCTGATTTCTCAAAAGAAACTTTGCAGGCCAGAAGGGAGTGGCAAGAAATATTCAGAGTGATGGAAAGCAAGAACCTACAACCAAGATTACTCTATCCTGCAAAGCTGTCATTTAGAATCGTTGGTCATATAAAGACTTTCCCAGAGAAGAAAAAGTTAAAGGAGTTCATCACCACCAAACTGTTATTATATGAAATGATGAAGGGTCATTTTGAAGAAAAAGATAAAATATATGAACAAAAAAAATGGCAATGAATACATATCTATCAACAATGGAATCTACAAACAAAATGAACAGATAGAACAGAAACATTCTCATAGATACAGAGAACATTTTGTTGGTTGCCAGATGGAAGGGGGTTTGGGGGAATGGGTGAAAAAGGTGAAGGGATTAAGAAGTACAAATTGGTTGCTAAACTGACAAACCTCAAAGTTGAAAGGGGCTGGGGGGGGTGGGAAGAAATAAACCAAAGAACTTATATGCATAACCAATGGACACAGACAATAGTGTGGGAAAAGGTGGGAGGGAGGCGGGAGTGGGGAGGAGGGAGTCAATGGGGGAAAGAATGTGGAACATCTGTAATACATTCTACATTCAACAATAAAGATTTTTTTAAAAAAAGAAACATCATAAAATAAAAAAAGCAAAAACTTAATTTTTCTTCCTTAATACAACTGCATGATGCTTGGGTGTCTAGAGGATGTAAGCCAGGCTATTGAGAAACTTTTATTTCAAGGTCTGATTTTGGTTTCTCATAATTCTGACTATTCTTTTATATAGTTAGTCAGAGTCTTAAGGTGAAAGGAAGAATAATCCAAATTAATTTTCATATCATATAATCATAACTAATATTTTCTTTTGCCAATTATAAAATTTTGCATTAGGTAAATATGTTTATGTATGTGTATAATACATATAAAATATATTAATACATGTATATTAATGGTCTGAGTAGGGAATTTACTGTATTGCTAAGTAAATAGGACTACATCCCTCAGAGTGAGAAAGTTGAGCATTGATAGGAGGCTGTTTTTATGAGGGTAGACCACAAACTAAATGAGGTACAGTGGGCTAGGCTACAGTGTGGATGTTCTTTCTGACAGAGGTAAATAATATTGCTATGTATTTAACCAAATACATATAATAAACTAATGTAAGCAAAGTATATTTTTATGATAAGGTAGCTAGCTAATTTGATAATTATTGTAGGTAGGAGTTTTCAACCCAGGGGACATTTTTTGGCTTCCAGGACTAGAGGGCGTTACTGATAACTAGTAGGTAGATGCCAGGAATGTTGCTAAATATCTTACAGTGTACAGGATAACCCCACACCATAAATAATGATACAGCCCAAAAGGTCAGCAGTGCTTTGATTGAGAAACTCTTTTAGGGTTTTTTTTTTTTTTTTTTACTTGCCACATGATATCCTATATATTTTTCAAAATTTCATTTAGCAAATAAACCTTTAATCGAGGTGTAATAGTTATAATAATTTTATGATTTTATTTTTGTGAAAACTTCAATGAACAGAAGTATATTTGCGTGTACTTGGAATAATTTATGAGAGGAAAGAATCAAGGATGGATGCCAAGTTTCTGGCTTGATTAACTCACCCTGGAGGATGTTGGTGATATTATTTGAAATGAGAGAAACAGATGTGTGGAATAAACTCTTCAGTTCAGATTTTACACTTGTAGAATTTGAAGTGCTTGAGATATATCAAAAGGAAGTCATAAAGACCAGAACTTAGGTATTCAGACATATCTTTAAATTGAAATTTGTCAGTATATAAATATAATTTAGCCCTGAGATTAGATTAAATCATCCACCAGATTGTATATCTTAAGAAGAAAAGAGTACTTTATAGCACAGTTCTTAGGAACACCAATATTCACAATATGAATAGAGGAGAATCTAGCAAGAGACTAAGAAATAGCCAGAGATAGAATAGGAAGTGATTCATAAGTGTAATCTTCCAAGCTAAGGGAAGAGAAATGTTTTCAGGTGGATGAGTGGTTATTGGTATGGAGGCTGTTGCTGACTTGGATCATACTCATGAGAGTGACTAGAAATCATATTATAGTAGGTTGAGAAGTCCATGGTAAAAAATTTAGTTGTGTTGTAGATTTATGTAAATTTGGCTGTGAAGACCTTCAAGGTCATGGTGAATACTGTTTTATATTAATATTAAATAATTGCTTGGATTCTAAGTGATTCAGCAACTATGAAAATAGTCCTGTTTATTATCACAGATAAAGGTGTATGTTTGACACTCAAACATTAATTTTGTTTTTCAGATCTTTCAAGAAATCGTTTTGCAGAAATTCCTTCTGATGTCTGGTTATTTGCACCTCTTGAAACATTAAATTTGTATCATAATTGCATTAAGACCATTCCTGAAGCCATTAAAAACCTGCAGATGTTAACATACCTTAACATTAGGTAAGGAAGTAATTTTGGGGGTAAATTTTGTTTTTCATCATAGTTCTCGTCATTTTTAGTAGCAAAGGAATGTGTTTGGTTTGTCTATGTAGCTTATATTTATATCAATAGTATCTTATTTGTATTTTTTATATGTCCACACTTCTGTATAGGCCTTTAGTCTTGTTCTTGAGAGCACTGCTTCTCAAACTAATGTGCATGGGATTAAAATGGGATTCTGATTTTATAGGTCTGCAGTGGGGCCTGCATTTCTAACAAGCCCCTTCGTAATGCCCATGCCTGCTGGTCCTTAAATCACTTTGAAGAGCAAGGCTTTATAAAATCAGAAATATTTTACTGAAATCATAGCCCCACAAAACTGATTTATTTATATGCATTCTCAATTAAAGTGAAACATTATAAATAAACATTATAAATATCATAGTCCTTGTGATATTTTTACACTCCTGTGACTTTCTGTTCCTTCTTCAAAGATGGATAGATTGGGATGGGAATGGTGAACAGTAAGAGGTGGATGATAGTTGATCTTAATACCGAATAAGTGCTTACTGTGTGCCAGGAGGTGTTACAAATACTTTACACGTTACCTCATTTTCACAACAGTATTCTGAGATATGTTCTTTTATTATCCCTGAGTTACAGATGAGGAACTGAAGCACAGAGAAGTTAGCTATTTGCCCAAAGTTTTATATAAATATATATATATATATATATATATATATCTTTCTCGTGGTAGAGCCAATATTATAATCAAAGTATGGCTATAGAAATCTCATTGTTTTTTTGTTTTTTTGTTTGTTTGTTTTGTTTTGTTTTATCCTCAGCCGAGGACATTTTTCCATTTTTTGTTCAGATAGAGTGGGAGGGAGAGAGAGAGAGAAACATCAATGTGAAAGGGACACATCGAGTGATTGCCACCTGCATGACCCAATCAAGGCCGGGGACAAACTGCATCCGAAGTACATGCCCTTAGCAGGAACCGAACCCGGGTCTCTCTGGATCACAGGCCGATGCTCTAACCGCTGAGCCAAACTGGCCAGGGCTAGAAATCTCATTCTTAAACTACTATCCTATATTTATAACAGAGTGAACACTTAATAAGAATAAAAATATTGTCTTGTCAAATGAGTGACATTGAATGGAAACTGATATATAGTTTGACAATTTTAGAATCACTTTCTTATTTTTCTTCTTTCTTTTATTGAGTTGTGAGGGATAATTTCTTTCCCCTCCTTAACAAAGTTAATTTTTTAAATTCCCATATAGTGAAGTTGTAAATGTAATTAATATACATAAATAATAATTCTCCTTTCCTGCTGTAATATGTTAATTATTATGTATGTCTCCCCCAGTGGTGTCACCTGGCAGTACATACTATTTTAACTGAACCACTGCACGTTAAAATATGTGAGAGGAATTTTCTTCCATAGATAGTCATTTGGGTTGCTCCTTTCTTTAATTGGATGTATATCTCCTTGGCCTGGCTTGGGAAAGGTTTGAGGAAAGTGAGGTATTTTTAAGTTTGTCTTTGTTTCATTTTATTCTTTTATGGAAAAATGTGAATTGTCCAAACTGAATTACATTTCTATATTAACATGTATGATATATCTTAGAACACAGGCATACTATAGAGGTATTGTGGGTTCAGTTCCAGATTACTATAATTAAGTAGATGTCGCAATAAATTGAGTCATAATCTTTTTGCTGGTGGAGGGTCTTGCCTTCATTTGTTGAAAACACAACACTTGTAAAGTGCAATAAAGTGAAACACAGTCAAATGAGGTATGCCTGTAGTTTTATTAAAGCATTCTCTGATTCTTTCTTGTTTTGATCGCTAAAAGTTAACTTCTGATTTTTGTTTAGCACAAAAAATTTTGAACAAACTCTATTGAAATAACATTTTTTTCTAGTGACTAACTTCCTTTGACTATCTCTAAAGCATGTGGCAAAAAAAGTAAAGATTAATGACTAACCTGGTCCTCCTCCTCCTCCTCCTCCTCCTCCTCCTCCTCCTCCTCCTTCTCCTTCTCCTTCTCCTTCTTCTATCCTCACCTGAGGACATGTTTGCATTTCAGATAGAGCAAGAGGGAGAAAGGGAGGAAGAGATAGAGAGAGAAACATCGATGTGAGAGAGACACATTGACTGGTTGTCACCCACACGACCAACCAGGGCCGGGGACAAACTGCAACCGAGGTACGTGTCCTTAGCGGGAACAGAACCTGGGTCTCTCTGGACTGCAGGCTGATGCTCTAACCGTTGAGCCAAACTGGCAGGGCAAACCTGGTTCTTAAGGAAAGCAAATGAGTCAACTTTTAATTGTTTTTGGTCTGAAGAAGAGTATTTGTATGTGCCATTCTATTTTTCTATTTCTTTTATTTTTTATTTTGGTGAAAATATCTTGAGAAATGTAGAAGATGATCTTTAAGCTCTTTTTCTCTTCCTGTGTACTACCCCCTTTTAAAGTAGAATCTTGTAGGAAGATTCTTGAGTGATTTATTCTGCCTGATCTTAAAAGTGTCAAGAGTTGTGACAGGCCCCTAGCATATTTGACATTTCAGCAGCCTGGCCAGGATTCCTGCTCTAGTGACATTTTCTTTCTTTTCTTCTTCTTCTTCTTTTTAAAATCTATACCAGGTCTAAAGCCTCTCTAGTATTTCTGGATGTCCTCTGCAGGCATAAAATGGGGTGAAAGTTTTTGAAATCCTCTCTTGGGGTAACACTGGGCTTTTGTTGTACACGATACCCCACATGGTAGGTACATACAGGTCTATAAATGTCACTTTGAAAAACAGAAAATAATAGCTCATTGCTTACGAATGCTTGGTATAGTATGTAAATGTAATGGTACACTTTATATACTTTGGTAGCAGGATTGTCTTTGTCCATTCGGGCTGCTATGACAGACAGTTTATAAAACAACAGACATTTTTCACAGCTCTAGAGGCTGAGATGTCCAAGATCAAGGTGCCAGAAAATTTAGTGTCTTGCGAGGACCCGCACCCTGGTTCATAGATGGCCATCTTCTAGCTGTGTTCTCACATGGTAGAAAGGGTGAGGGAGTTCTCTGGGGAATCTTTTATAAGGACACTAAAGCTGTGTGTGAGGGCTCTGCACTCATAACCTAAAAACTTCCCAAAGGCTCCACCTAATATCACTTCTGGGATTAGGTTTCAACACTGTAATTGTTTTTGGGGGGAGGGGCAGTACACAATTCAGTCTATAATGGGATCATTTGGATCAGTCTTTATTGGTGTATAAATTTGACCACTGTAATTTGGAGGTAAGGAACACAGAGCCAGATTGCCTGGATTTGAATGCTGGTTTTCTCCCTTACCAGCTGTGAGACTTTGAGGAGTTTACTTAATCTCTTGTTGACAGGCTCTTCATCTGTAAAATAGGCATCATGATAATATCTGTCTTCCTAAAATAGGTTGTTGTGAGGGTTAGTCAAGTTAATTTGTGTGAGGTGTTGTGAACATGGCCTGGCACATAGTAAACAGTCAATAAATTTTAGTTGTTATGTTTAAATTTACAGAATTAAGAAAATCATATCAACTTTGAGCTGAGATAAAGGTGCTATTAGGCTGTTCTACCATAAACCCATAGCAAAAGGAAATGGGTTAGGGTTATTACACGTTTTTGAAGATATAATCTTACTCATTCTATCATAAATTTAAACATAGTGCATGCAAATTTATCCTTGGAGCCTTCCCCTAGTTAAAGGCATGGAGTTATTGAATATAGTGAAATTATAGTAGAGAGCAAGGTTCTGGCATTCTTTGGCTCAGAAGAATGATTCTGGGTTTTGAGAAATGATGGTATGTAGGACAATATCATAGGTAACAGCACAGGCTTTGCTGTCTGCTGTGCCTGGGCAAGTCACTTAACCAGTTTTCACCTTTGTTGTCTTATTTGTATAATGGTGGTAATAATAGTACCTATCTTGTGGGGTTAATGTGAGGATTAAACAAGATAGTGCATATAAAGATTTTAGCCTGATACAAAGTAAGCATTCGTTAAATGATGTTATTATTTAGTCAAAGCTCCTTATTTACTTTTGAGGTTATTTGCTCTTTTTCAACATAACATGTCAGGTTTCAGAAATATTTCTCATAATGATACTGTCTTATTCTTTTCAGTCGAAATCTTTTATCAGCATTGCCAAAATACTTATTTGATCTTCCTCTTAAAGTTTTGGTCATCAGTAATAATAAACTGGTATCCATTCCAGAAGAAATTGGGAAGTTAAAAGATTTAATGGAATTGGTGAGTAAAATGGTTGTATTGATTATATATAGTATGCATAATGCATACCTTTATATTGTGGAATATTACTGATTCCTTTGTGTAATTTCACTGTAATTTTTTAGAAAAGAATAAATTGGTAATGCCTAAGTTCACTTTAGGAAATTTTTGAGATACCATTGCTTGTCTGATTTTAGCTCACAGCCAATAAAAACCTGGTTGTTTCTCAGTTCTAGTCAGAGGCTTGCCTACAAGTCTTAAGAAATGCTGTTCAAACGAGTAAGGAGTTGTCTATCTATTCTGTGGAAAATAAAGGTCTAATCAGTAAAAGATACAAGTACTTTTGTTAAGGTTTTAGAGGGCTGCTATGAGAGATTCAGAGAACGGGGATAAACAGTAGAATGAACAATACTCATGTGATTAAAAATTTTTTTCTTTATTGATTTTTAGAAAGAGAGGAAGGGAGAGGGAGAGAGAGATAAAAGCATTGATGAGAGAGAACATTGATTGTCCGCCTCCTGCATGCCCCGCACTGGGGATTGGGCCAACAACCTGGGCATGTGCCCTGACAGGGAATAGAACTGCCAACCTCTTGGTGCATGGGTCGATGCTCAACCACTGAGCCACACCATCCAGGCCAATACTCATGTGATTTTATAACACTTTTGGGACCAAGATGAATGGAAAGAAGCCATTATATAAAATTGATTGTAAAAATATAGGAATAATTTAAAGTAATTACTTTGAACATAACATTTCACATATTAAAGTACATTGAACTCTGAGAGAAACATAGATTCTCATGTCATTAAGCTACTTTCACGTTTCTGTTACTTCCACCTTACATAGTATACCCTGCTATTTATTTTAATTTTGTTTTGTCTTAAATAATGCTTTCCTAATACACAGATATTTTAAAAAAGTATTCTTGAGTATGACTTTAGTATGTGTGGTGGGCCAGAAGTTTTCTTGAGGAAATTATTTACAATTTTATAATGGGAAATTAATATGCTAATAGACTGTAATGAACAGAAATCTCAGGGATGTCTTTCTTTTATTTATTAAGGAATATCTGCATGGGAAATTATCACACAAGGAAACTTCCTTGAACATAGTCTTATGTTTTAGAACCATAGAATTTAAAGGTTTTAAGAGATCTTATAAGTGATTGGATATAAGCACTTTCTAACGCAGGAATCCCTGACAGTCTACACTCTAACGAGATATTTTCAGTGTCAGATAAATTTGTGTGTGTGTATATGTGTTGTGTGTGTGTGTGTATTTCTGTCCTAATTCTCTTTTGCAAATCTATTTGTTATCCTTTTTATTTTGAACTAAATCTATGCCTCTATCACTTTTATCTAATGGTCCTGGGACTACAATGTGAAGAAGTATAGATAATGACAACTTATTTCCATTCAGATGTTTGTAATCTGTCGCGTGTCTACTCTCCATTTTTTCAAAACTCTAAGACCTGTTTGCCTGTAGCTTAAACATCTTTATTACTTTTATTCCATTCTAAATTTTTATTCTTTATTACTTTTTATTTTTAAGTATTTCTGTCCTGAAAATGTTTTTTTTTTTTATTAAGGTCTCTTAATGTTATACTCACCAATGAACACAAGATTTCAGATGTTAATCAAGCAAATTTATAATAAAAGAGAACCATTTCTTTCTTTAACCTGGACACTTACTATTTATAAACATTTTATATATGTTATACCTTTAGATTCTATGGCTCTGTAAATTTTTTTAATTTAGTTTTTGGACCTATGTTCTAAATTATATTACACAAGATAATTTTTGGATGAGTGAAGTTTCAAAAGCATTTAAATTTTTTAGATTTAACCTAGTATTTTTATTTAAATAGAATATTTGTTCCTGGAACCCCAGTGTTTTTCTTTGGGTCTGCCTGCCTTTGAGTACTGGCCAAAAGAAGTACATGGACAGGAATTTGCAGTATAGAAAGAGAAACTAATTTAACATTGAATTGAACAATATGGAGATAGGGAACTTCAGCTCTAAATAAAAAACTCCCCGATGACATGTATGTTACAGATTATATAGGGCAAAATCACAAGACACTGTGGGTTGGGGGTTCTGGGTTGTGCTAGGAGCTGATTTAGTCAGAGGTGAAGTAAGGGTAATCATTTCTTTAGGTCTTGAACACAGCTCTGAGGTCTATTCCAGTCCCTCAGTCCAGTTTCATGGAGAAAATAGCCAGGGGGTCATTCTGCTTTAGGGCTCAGGAATGGAAACATAGCTTAGGTCAATAACTTCAGCCTGACACAGGTTGAGACCTTGTGGCCATTATTCAGATCTCGACTACTGTCTTCTTCTGCTTCAGAGGTCACTGATGATCTGGGGGCAAGGCTAGGTCTCTGAGTGATTTATATGTAGAAAAGGATATAACTTTTAGAACTAGGATTTAAAACTCAGTTTAATCAAAATCGTAAGGACTCTCAGTTTCATATTTTAAAATATTAAATATCATGATTTTACTAGGCACTACCAAATTATTGTACTTTAAACTCTTGAAATCAGTAACAGTAGATATATAGTGTTAGGACGGCTAATTAACAATTGTAAATCACATAGTGAATTTGTAGATATTACCTGTAGCCAACTACAGTGAAATTCTGTCATTAGAATTCTAGGAAATACTCTCAGACCTCCAATCCCCAGCACAGTATTTTGTAGAGAACCCACTGGTTGAGTGGGTCGGTTTCCTGGCCTGGGTTTATTTGTTCTGGGAAATGGTAACTATCTATGAAATTGCTTTAGATTTCCTATAAGGAGATCTTCAGTATTAAACACCTTTGGGAGGAAGCAATAGTGTTTACTTGAAAGACATTTTCCCAAACTTTTACTGTTCGATACATTTGAATAATAGCCTATTCTCAACACAGACACTAAGTTGATACCATCAAAGCATAAGGCAGGTCAAGTAATAACTCTTTTTTTTGTGTGAGATTTATTTTTTTAATTAATTAATTAATTAATTTTGGTTAAAATGTTTCTCCTTTTTCCCCCACTGATTCTCCCGTTCCTCTCCCTCCCCGCCCTGTCCCGAGCTTTGTTGTCCATGTCCACTGTTCATGCTTACATACATATAAGTTCTGTGGTTTATCTCTCCCCCACCACTCCTCCTCTGGGGATTGTCAGTCTGTGCCTCACTTCCACCTCTCTGGAACTCCCCCATTCCTCAGACTGTTATGTTCATTATATTCCACAAATAAGTGAAATCATGTGATATTTGTCTTTCTCTGCTTGGCTTGTTTCGCTTAGCAAAATACTCTCCAGGTTCCCCCCATGTTGTCTCAAAGGATAAGAGATCTTTCTTTCTTGCAACTGAATAGTACTCTATTGTGTACATGTACCACAGCTTTTTTATACATTCGTCTACTGATGGACATTTGGGCTGTTTCCAGATCTTAGCTATTGTAAATAGTGCTGCTATGAACATGGGGGTACATATATTCTTTCTGATTGGTGTTTCAGGCTTCTTAGGGTATATTCCTAGAAGTGGGATCACTGGGTCAAATGGAAGTTCAAGTTTTAATTTTTTGAGGTAACACCATATTGTTTTCCATACTGGCTGCACCAGTCTGCATTCCCACCAGCAGTGTACTAGAGTCCCCTTTTCTCCACACCCTCGGCAATACTTGTTGTTTGATGATTTGTTGATGGCGGCCATTCTGACAGGTGTGAGGTGATACCTCATTGTTGTTTTAATGTGCATCTCTCTGATGATTAGTGATGTTGAGTATTTCTTCATATGTCTCTTAACCATTTGTACGTCCTGTTTGGACAGATGTCTATTTAGTTCCTGTGTCCATTTTTTAATTGGATTTTTTGTCTTTCTTTTGTTGAGTTGTATGAGCACTCTGTATATTTTGGAAATTAACACCTTATCTGATATATCATTGGCAATTATGCTCTCCCATACAGTGGGTTCCCTTTCCATTTTGATGATTGTATCTTTTTCTGTGCAGAAGCTTTTGAGTTTGAGGTAGTCCTATGTGTTCATTTTCTCCTTTGTTTCTGTTTTCTTAGGTGATATATCAGTGAAAATTCTGCTGCGTATGATGTCTGAAATTTTGTTGCCTACATTTTCTCCTAGGATTTTTATGGATTCATGGGTCACATTTAAGTCTTTTATCCATTTTGAGTTTATATTTTTGTATGGTATAAGTTGATGGTCTCGTTTCATTTTTTTGCATGTAGCTGTCCAATTTTCCCAACACCATTTATTAAAGAGGCTGTCTTTACTCCATTGTATGCTCTTTCCCCGTTTGTCAAATATTAATTGAACATATTGTCTTGGGTCCATTTCTGGGTTCTCTATTCTGTTCCATTGATCTATGTGCCTGTTCTTCTGCCAGTACCAGGCTGTTTTGATTACAGTGGCTTTGTAGTATAAGCTAAAATCTGGTAATGTGATCCCTCCAACTTTGTTCTTTTTTAAGATTGCTGTGGTTATTCAGGGTCTTTTTGGTTCCATACAAACTTCAATTATTTCTTCTAGTTCTGTGAAATATGTCATTGGTATTTTGATGGGGATTGCATTGAATCTATAGATTTCTTTGGGTAGTATGAACATTTTAATGATGTTAATTCTTCCAATCCATGAACAAGGTATGTGCTTCCACTTTTTTATATCTTCCTCTATATCTTTTATCAATTACCTGTACTTTTCTGGGAATAAGTCTTTTATTTCTGTGGTTAAGTTTATTCCTTGGTATCATAATTTTTGCCGCAATGGTTAATGGGATTTTTTTTTAGTTTCTCTTTCTGTGAGTTCCTCATTGGTGTGTAAGAATGCCGTCAATTTCTTGACGTTAATTTTGTATCCTGCTCCTTTGCCAAATTCATTTATTAAGTCTAGTAAATTTTTTATGCAGTCTCCGGGATTTTCTATGTATAGTATCATGTCATCTGCGAATAATGACAGTTTCATTTCCTCCTTTCCAATTTTGATCCCTTTTATTTTTTCTTCCTGTCTGATTGTTGTGGCTAAG